ATAATTTAATCTAATTTGAAATGCAACTTGAGTTGACTGTCATGTCCCCTTTGATGCTTCCTGAAATGAAGTTACAATTCTAAGTAATAAAAAAAAGTCATTTTAAAATACTTTTTTAATAGTACAAAGTACTATTAATAATATTTATCATCTAAAGACTTTTTTATGATTAAATTATTTTTAACAAATTGAGTCTCTGAGTCAACTGTCCTTCGTGTTATTCTAAAATACCTGTCACCCCCAGTTTGGCTTAATGTAATTCAGTTATTTCAAATGTTGTTTATTTACACCTCAGGGCCGCTGTCGTTTCCTGCCCAGAGAGGGAACATAATCCCTCCAAAAAGTTCTAGTTCTGGCTTGGGGTTTCCTCTCAGCGGGGCTTTCCTAGAAAACCTTGAGAAGGAGGCATTCAGGGAACATCCTAATCAGATGTCTGAACCACCTCAATTATGTCCTTTCCATGTGAGGAAGCAGTGGCTCTACACCAAGTTTCCCTCAGATGATGGAGTTCCTCTGACGTTGAGCCCAGCCACCCTAAGGAGGAAACTCATTACATCTATTTGTATCTAGTATCTTGTTCTTTCAGTCATGATCCATGACTCATGACCACAGGTAAGGGTTGGAATGTACACAGACATGTAAATCCAAAGTTTGGCCTTTTGGTGCAGCTCCTTCACCTCAATAGATCAAGCAACATCCTCATTACTTTGGCAAGGCTCCAGTTTGTCAATAAGTTTTCTGCTTCACCAAGATATTCTCTGTGAACAAGACGGCCTGATTTTTTAACTCCAGCTTGGATCAGAGAGTTACGAGAAAGAGCACCTTTTCCCAGCTGAGAGCCATGGTTTCAGACTCAGAGTTAGATGACTCCACACTTCACACCTCACACTGGCTGTGAACCACCTCAGTGCACATTGAAGGTCACAGCATCTTTTTGCGGATGATTCATTCAGTCAGTCAATCATATAATGTCTCACATAAACTCAGACAGCAGCTGCACTTTCTACCTCTTAAATTCTTCAGCTGGTTAGAGGAAAAACCTGACAGTCAAAAAGCATACACTTTTGACCTGAAAAGAGGACAAGTCAGTTGAGTTGTGCAAGATCTAAAGATCAAGGGTCTAATTCCTGAAGGCGAAGCCAAAATCAATCAATAAATCAATTAATAAAACTAACAGTGGAGGAAACTCCATGTTTTTCATTTCATTTTTTCATTTTTAATTGCCACAACTTAAAGTTTTATTCACTGGAAGAAATGTGTTAAACAGACAGAATACTTAGCAGTAAGTAAAGATTTAGTAAGTGATTGTACCAACAATGCACATAAAAGTGAATATTCAAGAATGACTGACTTCTATTCTTTTCTCGTCTCAGCTCTGACCTGCAGTATACCAGCTGAGCTTTGAAGCCTTCCTCCTGCCTTGTCGTTCATTAATACATGAAGCTGTCATCATTTCCTCTTCCTGACTCTGCATTAAAGGCAGTGGGGAGCGGCATTTATTTAGAAATAATGAGGCTATACCCCCACTTTAGCTGTGAGCACCATGAAGTGCAACACTTTAAACTTTGGGTCACGCATTTCAGACTGAAAAATAGATATATACATA